CAGTGTTCGGTCAAGCTCTGGTATTTACAGACACAGCCTCGTTAGAGCAGGGAGCTTGTTTTTCTCCCTGTTATCTTCCCAAAAGAGACCCGGACCACAGCTGAAGACCAACAGCAGTGCCTCGGATTAGTCTGCCTACCTCGCCAAGCGTTAACTGTCCCACACGGGGTCTCGGGGTCTTTTTTTATTTGCTGTCGTTTATGAAAAGAAAATCACTGTGTAAGCTAGGTGCCGATTTTGTAATGGGAGGTGTAACCTTTGTACCACACGCCTGTTGAGGTGCTGATTTATGTCACTGTGGTTCACCCAGTATTAAAAAGGAGGTTGACCTTATTCTGATTTTGATCTTGTTTTTTTTTTCCCTGTCCCAAATGCTGAGTACATAGTTTTTGTTTTAAGTACTGGAATGATTTGTACGTTTAAACGTGTCCATTTCAGCTGCAGTGCTTCAAAATCCTGCCACCACCTCTGGTGTCAATTGTCATCTCATCCAGCTATTTATTGAAAAGAAACAGGGTTTTGGCTCTACAACTGCACCTTGTTCCACACTCCCACCACCCTTTGTGTAAAGTAGTGCCCTCTGTTACTACTGGAGGATCTTATCCAGCTTTTTCTTGAAAGATAACCTGGATATCGCCTTCAAACAACAAGGACAGGCAGCTTGTTCCACACCCCCACCACCCTTTGTGTAAAATGCCTTCTGTCGTTGGTTTCAAATGCACTTCCCTGCAGTTTCCACTTGTTGTCTGGTTCATGCTTCACTGCTGGCTCTGAAGAAGTCCACTGGGTTGACCTTGTGGTGTTTGAATACGTGAACCAGACCTTTTTCTCTTAGCTCAGCAGTTTGCTGTAGGACGTTCTTGTGAGCTCGGATCAAGCCCGTCAGGGCAGGAGACTGAAGTCTGTTGTTGAGTACTGTAAACATAAGAATGTCTTGACTGGTGGGATGATGGGGTGGGCTGTACAGGGCTGGGAGCAGTTCCAAATTCGTTTCCATTCCATTTTAACCAGTTGCCGTTACTTCTACAGCGTGCACTTTCTGCAGTCTGTGACAGAAGGCTCTGTCACCCCCTCAGTTTCCTGATCACAGCGCACGGCCCAGCAGGACCTCCAACCGGGTCGGTACCCCTGCCCCCGCGGCTGCGGTCTCGGCCCACGTGTCCCAGAGTCCGACCTGGGGGGCGCTTTGCCAAAGCGGGGAGACCGATGGGAAGTGAAAACGCAGGGGGGCCGAGGGGAAGGGAGGTTCTTCTCTGCACAGAGGGGACGTAGAAACTGACCAGTCACGCAGTGAGCCCCCAAGTTCAAAGCGCCCCCCGAAGTTTAAGGCCCCCACCCACCACGTTAAAAGGGCCGCGGTGGAATTCGATGGGCGGCTTCGCACCGGGAACAGCGCTGCTGGAGCTATGCTTCCCAAAGCAGGGAGCGGAGGTGTGGGAAGAGTCCGTGGTTCCCAGGGATGGGAATCCGGGAATCTGCTCGTCTTCCTACTGCCAGGCTCTTTTCCTGCATGGCGTGACATTGAGGGGTGAAGTACCGGCCCGGAGCTGGCAGCACAGGGAAGGGGGGGGCGTCGGTCCACCTTTCGACCCCCTTCCCATCAGCCCCTGCTTCCTCTCGCTCTCGCTCAGTCTGCCTGCCCAGCCTCTGCATTCGCTCTTTCTGCACTGACAGCTGTTTCTCTCTTACTCCCCCTCTCCCTCGCTCACTCCAATTCAGAGCTTCATCGGCACGACCAATCGATTAAACAGGTACAATCAACACAGCATTTACAGACACTTACAGTGCGCACCTTATGATCTGGGAATATCACTCTCTGTCCCTCGGGCTGCGACAGGAGATCACACGCTGGGCTGCAGCTCTGTTGAGTTTCCCCAACAATCCCTGGAGGATTGTGAGGTGTTC